TAAAAAAATAAAAAATTAGCTGGGCATAGTGGTGTGCACCAGTATTTCCTGGGGGATAGTGTATCAGGGGCTGAGGCAGGAAGATCACTTTAGCTAGAGAAGTCAAGTCTGCAGTGAGCCATGATTGCACCAGTGTACTCTATTTAGCCTACATAACAGAGTGAGATCCTGTCACAAAAATAAAACAAGCTCTAAATGAACAGAAAGACCTACATATACTCACATGGATGAAGGTAACACAGAACACCAAGAGGCTTCCACTCAGAGAACAATCACGTTGCTAGGAATTTGAGGTCAGATGTAGAAAGATACACGTGCTGTGGCCACAGTGCACGGACATTTTTCTTTGTTGGGAAAAAATTCAGGGATGCCTTATTTTATGCTGACATTCAAATCAATATGCTCACTAGTAAATGCTCCTGGGCTAAGGCTGTTAGAAGAAGGAACACTGTTAGCTTGGTTCCATACAGAATGGATTTCTAGACTTCTATAATTTTATTTGATTTGGATTAATGGGGCCTGAATGTATTCATGTGATAAAGCAACTGAAAATCATGTTGCTCTTTGTAGGATAAAATGAAATATAAATATTTAGATTATTAAAAAAAAAAACAGTATATAACTTTGCATTGAACCTGACACTGTTGTATACTATTATAGAAGAATGATAATATTCTTAAAACCGAAGAAATATGTAAAATGGATGGAGAAAAATTTGTAATTGAGAACATTCCATCCATTAACATATTTTTTCTTAATATTTTGTGTGGAAAAGATAGCTAATTGCTTAATCTTGATTCTTATCCCAGCAGAATATCTCTCAAGACAAAAACTACATTTCCCAGTCTCCCCTGCGGCTAAGTATGGCCACATGACTAATTTCTGTCAAAGATATGAAAACATAATTACTAGATGAAATGTCTAGAAGGGCTGCTTAACAGAGTTTTACTCAGCTTGTCGTGATACTCTCTGCATTTCCTTCTTATTTTGGCTGCAATGCAGGTGTGATAACCAGAGCTTCAGCAGCCCAGAGATGACCTTAATTATAAAAGCCATGTGTTAAGATAATAGGGGAAAAAGCCTGGAGGGTCCCAAATGATATTATGGAGTGGTCATAGCTAGATAGTTTCTCTTCCAACTCCTTTTATCTGAGAAAAGAAACCCCCAAATTCCAACTTGCTTAAGGCTTTGGTAGTTTACATTTATTTTTAATGTGCAGCAAAGCCTAATTCTGATATATTAGCAATAAAATCCTCTACTCCCAGTTGCAGCATTGAATTTCAGAACCCAGACTACTGATAGTATAAGAGTATAGTTTGGGAATCATAGGTTTGGTTCTTATCTGTGGATTTTCATTGAAAACATTATAAGAATAATTGTTGAAACTGACTTCTATTTTTATCTTTGTAAGTCTTGCTTTCACTGAAAAAAGAAAATAGGAAAATGGCACTGGATTTCATTAGCATACTCTGTCTCTGTCTGTCTGTCTCTCTCTTTCTCTCTCTCTTTCTCTGCCTCTCTCCCCAAGTAATATGCAGCAATGATATAAATTTCATCTTTGTCAAAGTATTTTTTGCATACGTATATAACGCTTTAAGTTCATTAAGTCTACCCACATAATTAGCTCTTATGATTCTCATAATAGATCCATGAAGTAGGCAAGACAAACACATTTCCATTTCTACCAAAGTGGAAACTGGGTTTTCATCCTCATTACATCAATTTGTGGCAGATGGGACTATTATCTCTAACATACATAAAGCAGAATCATGAAATGATCACATCACTTAAGCCAGTGCCTTGGATACAAGTTGGCATTCAGTAAATACTTGCTGGATGCCTGAATGAGTGCCGGGGTAAGTGAGTGAATAAGGAAAATGATGCAGGGAAGTTAAAGGAGGCATCAGAGTCACCACACTGGAATTAAAATCAGGGTTTTTTCACTTCTATTCTAATTCTTTTTCCATTAATTACACTATGTTGCCTCTCCCTAGAAATTCATTCTTCAATTTGCTGAGTTGTCCATTTGGGTGTACTGTGGGTGGAAGGCAGTTTTCAGATGGTCATCAATGGTGAACTTCAGCTGATGCCCCAGCACAACATTGTACACACCACAAAAGAGTTTGCTTCCACTGGCAGCTCTCCCAATCCTCACATATTAATGCTCTGCCAACAGCTATTGTCTTTGACAAGTGACTGTGCTGGCAACATAGGATTTCCTTATACAAAGCCCTTCACATGGATAGCCAGCAAGGAGTCCCATTTCTAGCTTTGCCTGACACCCTCACACAGCTAAAGTATTTGTTTTACTTGGGAAAATGTTCCAGGAGACTCTGTGCTTGTGGTAATTGTTGTGGTTTAACAACAGTTTAAAGATTTGAACTAGGAAACATAATAGCCCCAGTGGATCCTAACATTTAGAACAATTTCTTTCTTTTGAAATAGCTGAGAAAATAACAAAAGCCAGAAAAACCTCAAATTATCACCCCGGGTTATTCTAAGGTATGCATATGAAGTGAATTTACTTTTTTTTTTTTTTTTTTTGTAGACAACTGAGACAAATATTAAATGATTTCTCCTAAGTTACCTAATTTGTCAAGATATTAGCTATAGAGTCTAGGTCAGAGGTGTCCAATCTTTTGGCTTCCCTGGGCTGCATTGGAAGAAAAATTGTCTTAAGTCACACATAAAACACACTAACACTAATGATAGCTGATGAACTAAAATAAAAAAAAAAATCACAAAAAACATCATAATGTTTAAGAAAGCTTATGAATTTGTTTTAGGCCACACTCAAAGCTGTCCTGGGCCGGATATGGTCTGCGGGCCGTGCATTGAACAAACTTGGTCTATATTCTAAACTACTCAGTTAGCTAGTGGATGGAATTGTAAGCCTGACATTTACTGGCTGTCCAACACTGGAGAAATTAATAATTCTCTCTGAACCTCAGGTTTTTTTTTTTTTTTTTTTTTTTTTTTTTTTTGAGATAGGGCCTTGCTCTGTCATCAGGCTGGATTGCTGTGGCACGATCCATGGCTCACTGCAGACTTGATTTTTCAGGCTCAAATGATTCTCTCAGCTCAGTCTCTTGAATAGCTGAGATTACAGGTGTGTGTCACCACAGCCAGATAAATTTTTAATTTTTTGTAGCGACATGGTCTTGCTGTGTTGCCTACACTGGTTTCAAAATCCTGAGCTCAAGCCCTCTTCTTGCCTTAACCTCCCAAAGTGCTGAGATTACAGGCATGAGCCATTGCACCAGGCCTAAATCTCAATTTTTATATATTTGTAACTAGAATAATATTCCTTGACTCAAAAGTTCTCAAAAGTTTAAATGAGATGTAAAGTGTCTAGAAATTTAGAAGTCACTCAATTCCACGTTAATTTCTTTCCTCCCTCAACTAATTCTATTTCTAGAACCCCTTTCCATATTCTGTGACCAAGTAGAAGCACTGAGAAATCCAAAATAAGCTTTATCAAAGCATTCTAATTTGCTTTAGCACACAGAAGTTTAAAAATTCCTATAACATGTATAATTCGCAAAAATACCTAAGAGGATCTACAAGACAATTGGCCTGGTTTACTTCACCTGTGATAATTCTGGTTCTTTGGTGTATCACACTTTTGGCCCAGATTCTGTAATAGAAATCAGAAAATTGAGTGAAAACATCTTGGTGCTAATCACTTTCTCACAATCCTAACCCAAAAGTCCTTACGTATCCATGCCTTTACACAGCATGCCCATACTTTATTCAGCAAGTATGTTTGAAGCACCAAATATGTGCCAGGCACTATCTAGGTGCTAAGTATACAGCAATGAGCAAAACAGATTAAAGAATTGTCTACGAGTAGGGACAGACAGACAACAAACTAAATAAGTATGGTCTGTCGGTGAGTGATAAACATGATGGAGAAAAATAAGGTGGAAAGAGGACAAGGAGAGTTGGGGGAAGGAGTTTGCAATTAAATGTGGTGGTCAGGAAAGTCGCATGAGAAGATGAACCGGTAATGACATAAAGGATGTAGGGACTGAGCTGTGTAGAAATCTGGAAGAAGAGCAGAAAGCATGGGAAGTACATAGACCCTGAACCAGGAAAGTGCCTGGCATATTTACAGAACGGTGTGGCTGCAGCAGAGACAAACAAAGGAGAAAATAGCAGGATGTGAAATGAGGTAGGTACGGGGGTGGGAAAGGGGCACATTGTGTATAGCCGTTATAAGGACTTTGTCTTTTACTCTAAGTGAAATGGAAGTCTTTGGTAGGTTTGAGAAGTGACATGATCTGACCTATGTTTTAAAAGGACTATTTCAGCTGCTGTGTTGTGAAATAGGCTGAAAAGCAGTGAGATCAGCAAGGAGATGGCTGCACTAATCTGGTGAGACATGATGCAAATATTTGCTGATGGATGGGATGTGGGGTGTGAGAAACAGAAATCAAGAAGGACTCCAAGTTTTTTGGCATGAGACAGTAAAAGGATGACGTTGCCCTTAACTTATGTGCAGAAGACTACAGGAAAAACAGGTTTGGGGGCAGATCAGCAGTTTGGTATTGGACATACAAATTTGAGATGATTATTAGGCATTCAAAGAGAGGTGTTATGTAGGAAATTAGCTATCAAATCAGGACATGAGGAGAAATCTGAGCTGGAGATATAAATGTGAGTGTTGTCAACCTATACATGGTATTGAGAAAAAGACAGATATATATGTACATAGAGACAGGCAAGTGGGTAAGATGTGGTGGAGGGAGCTTGTGGAAGGTCTCTACTGAGTGCTTCAATGTTCCCAGGAGAATGAGAAGCCAGGTTATCCACAGGAAGTTTCTAGTTAAGGGTCAGGAGGAATGGCACACGCCCAGCTGTAGAGTAAGAGTGATTCACAGTAATAGCTGCCAGACTCCTAGTCTTTATCTGGCCCAAGTTTCCCAGACTCTGGAAGTCTAGGGCCCATTCTGTCAGTGCCTCTGTTTGTTCTACTATGCCAGGTCTCAGTTTTTCTCGCCTGTGTCTTTGTGGTAGGGTAACCATACAACGTGGCTCTTTCCTGAATAGGAACTTTAGAATCCTGGCTCAGAGAACCTGCTCCTCCAAATCATTTGAATCCACAGTGCCTGGAAAGAAGAAGAAGGAACCATCAAGCTCAACAGCTTCAAACCTCACTCCATTTTTTTTTTTTACATGAATCCTAGGGAAACAATTTTATTTGAGGTAAAAGATTTATATGTGCAGATGTCCGTAAGTGTTATTTATAATAAAACAAAAACAAAACATGGAAACACTCTAAACATCCCAAGAAGGGGAATGGTTAAATAAATTGTCATATACCTATGAGATAAAATATTATATAGGGATTAAATGCAATGTTTACAATAATGCTTAATAACATGAGAAATGACTATAGTATTATGTTAGATAAAAATTAACATAGAGATCAGCTGGATTGTGAGAGATTTTCTCACTCTAGAGAGATTCTTCATGCAATCAGTATGTCAACAGACACAGATGTTTCCCTTTCTTCATATGATAAAGATCAGGAATCCAAACTTGTTCAAAAAGTTGAAGAGGCACCATTTGTTCTCATTGGAATGGTGGGCTTTCTAGCAATTGTTGCATATGGATTATACAAATGGATGAGCACAGGAAATGCTAAAATGTCCCTTCCCCTGATCCACATGTGTGTGGCAGCCCAAGGCTTTGTTGTAGAAGCAATCACTGTTGGTATGGGCTGTTCTGTGCGTTAAGAATTCTGGGCAAAGCCTAAGCCTTGGAAGAAATGTTGTCTTGGTCTTGTTGTAGGAGCTTACTTTAGTTAGACATCTCATTATTGAGGTGACATGTTTATGTCGGAAATAAATTATTTAAATGGATTCAGATGAGAACACGGTATTTTGAACACTGGCTTCCTTTCTTGCAGGCTTGTTTTGTCTGGTGACCAAATTACTAGTGACTAGTTCACTAACTAGGTCATTCAGGGGAAGTCAAGTTAACAAAAAAGAAACATGTCACCTAATTGCACTCGATGGTGTTAAAACTTTAAAGCCATCTTCTTAGACTGTAAAGATGAAATTAGGGCTGGGTGTGGTAGCTCATTCCTGTAATCCCATAATCCCAGCACTTTGGGAGGCCAAGGTGGGTGGATCACTTGAGGCCAAGAGTTTGAGACCAGCCTGGCCAACATAGCAAAACCCCATCTGTACTAAAAATACAAAAAAAAAAAAAAAAAAAAAATTAGCCAGGTATGGTGGCGTATGCCTGTAATCCCAGCTACTTGGGAGAGAAATCACTGGAACCTGGGAGGCAGTGGTTGCAGTGAGCCAAGATCATGCTACTGCACTACAGCCTGGACAACAGAGTGAGACTGTATAAAAAAAGAAAAGAGAGAGAGAGAAAGAAATAAAGGAAGGAAGGAAGGAAGAAAGAAAGAAGGGAGGGAGGGAGAGAGGAGGAGGGAAGGAGGGGAGGAGGGGGAGGAGAGGGAGGGAGGGGGAAAGAAAGGAAGAAGGAACAAAGGAAGGAAAGGGAAAGAGAGGAGGAAAGAAGGAAAGAAAGAAAGAAGGGAGGGAGGAAGGGAGGGAGGGAGGAAGGAAGGAAGGAAGGAAGAAAGAAAGAGAAAGAAAGAAAGAAAGAAGGGGGGAATAAGGGAGGGGGAATGGGGAGGGAGAAAGGAAGGAAGGGGAAAGAAAAGAAGAAAGGAAGAAGAAAGAAGGAAGGAAGGAAGGAAATAGTTATAAAGAAGATAGCCAGCCAATCCTGAAGTACTCCCAGTTTGCTGCAGAATTTCACATGCTTTGAATGTTATAGAGGAGTCCTATCTGCTCCAATTAATTTAACTTTTCTTCTGTCTGTCTTGTGGACTGGCTGGGTCTTTAAGAACTCTTTCTAAAACGTGCATGGAACATATTAATAATTTATAATGCCTCCCACAACTCTCAAGTGTATATGTGTGTCTAAACCAAATCTAGAAATCTTACAATAGAGCTGCATGGTAATAGTATTTACTTCAGAATCACAATTGCAAACATGAGAATAACTTAATTATGGACTCCAGTTTAGCTCTTTTATAATTGCAGAATTATATTTTAACTGCTGTTATAATAATTTTTAAATGTCATCTTGAAATAGAAATATGTATTTTAAACACTCATGCTAAGGTAAGTGAAGAACACTTTTTAAATTTTCTCCAGAAGAGTCATAAACATGAAACTAAACACATTACCTATAATGAAAGTGACTAATGAACAAGCTGGTTTGGCCAGTTACTATGCAGAAACTTTGATATACGACAGAATGCTTTATTTGTATTTTTTTTTTTTTTTTTTTTTTTTTTTGGAGGTTTGCTTTTTCACCCAGGCTCTGGAGTGCAATGGCACAATCACGGCTCACTGAAGCCTTGATTTCCTAGACTCAAGCAATCCTCCCACATCAGCCTGCTGAGTAGCTGGGACAACAGATGTACACCACCATGCCCAGCTAATTTGAATGCTTTATTGCGCTTGTGAAATTCTCTTGTCAAACCTGAATTTATATTCTATAGTGATAACATAGTATATGTATTGTTACTAAAGTGACTATGTAAAAAATTAATATAAAACTGTATATACACTATGATTCCAATTTTATACTTTCTTATGTGCAGAGAACACAGAATGAAAAGAAATATTCCTAATAATTACTTGTCAATGGAAGACTTGGGTTTTTTCTACTTTGTATATTTCTGTGTTATCCAAGTTTTCAGTCAGAAGCTGATATTTTTCTTACATTTTTAAATTGTGATGAAGAATTTTCAGCAAAAATTAAAAGAAGGAACTCTTAAGTTATCCCCAGTCCTCCTTGGGTCACTCTGTCCAGCTTCTAATTCCTCTGCTTATTTTAGTTGTAGGCTCTATGAGATCTCCCCAATATTTGATACCTCATTCCTAGACTAAGTGGTCAAATGTGAGTGATGGGGCAAAAGGCCTTTGGATGCTAAATAAGAACTGAGCAGATGGTAAACCTGTGACACTGGTGTGATGCAAGGAGTGGGCTCCTTGCAGCCCTGGAGCCCTTTATCAGACTGGGATTTCACCCATCTGAGCTGGCAACAAGCGCTGTTATTTCCAAGATATCTAGAACTCATCAATTGTGCCCGGATTGTTTACTTACTTCACTTGTGCTCCTGAATTCTTTGTAGCAGAGTCATTTCCTGTTTAAATCTCTCCAAACTTTCCCTGCTTTGGCCCAGGACTGAAAATTATCTGTTCTACAGTGCATAAGATATTCTTCACAAAGGTAAGCTGTTAGTTATGTATTAGTCTGTTCTGGAAAACAGTCAAAATAGTTGAGACCTACAGTTAGTCCATGAGCTCTGGAAGTGACCAAGTCATCACAGGTGGTGTACCTACCTAAATCGAATCCTTATGTATCATTTTCTGTGTTGGTAAGTAGATCCACGTTTTCCTTCGGGAGGCTCACTTTAATATCCTTCTGCTTCTTTAAGGTTGGGAAACCACCCAGGCCTCCCAGGTCTTGGCAAGCAACACTCTGACTTCATGTTGTTACTCAGCATTTTGTTTCTTATTGAAACGCCTGGCTCTGCACAACCGGTTTGTAAAGTCTGAAGATCCCCTGGGCATGCCCAGAAACACAGCAGCCTCAGGAAGACGGAACTGAAAAGAACACACAGAGAACAGGAGAAGGGCTTTATAGCTCCAGTCAGCCTGACTCAAACCTGTGTTAATAGCCCAAACTCTTGTTGCTCCACCCAGCCCTTCCTCTCTCTTCTGATCACAATCCTACGGACTCTTCTAGCAGCAACTCAAAAGCCACTTCACTCAGCCTAATGTAATCTATCTCTCCTCTGTGTTTCTTATAATACTTTCGTTTATTTTGTCTTACAAATTTTCCTTGTATCATACTTACTTATGTAAATATGTCTTCCTATGAGGTTATAAGTGTCCAGGAAAATTTGTGACCCAGTTTAGCTTGCATCCTTCTCCTTGAGCCAATGCCTTGTGCTTATTAAATAAAAATCCGTGAACTGTGTGGAATTGAATACCAATCTAAGAAAATAATTTGCTTTAGAATAGATCTGAGAATGCTGAGTAATGCGCAACTCCTGCCTTCGTTGGGGGGACCTGAAACCTTTGGGGGACTGCAATTACTTCTGGATTTGTTATAGTTTCAGCAAAGGTGAGATTTCCCAGGGTTGCCGTGGCCTACAGAAACGTTGGCCTCCATTGGCCTTAGTGTCTGGCTTAAAATGATAATGGAATCACACGAATTTTAATGGTTTGTATAGTAACATCATAAAGATACTGAAAATACTAGCAGTATTAAAGAAGTAAAGCAAATTCATTTCTTTTTTGAAAGATAAATCTCATTCATGAGGGATTAAACTTTTATTATAGATAAAGGGAACTTTGAAATTTGATAAGTTAAAATGATAATTAGATCACACCTGTAATTCTAGCACTTTGGGAGGCCAAGGCGGGTGGATCACCTGAGGTTAGGAGTTCAAGGACAGCCTGGCCAACATGGTGAAACCCTGTCTCTACTAAAAATACAAAAATTAGCCTGGCGTGGTGGCGTATACCTGTAATCCCAGCTACTTGACAGGCTGAGGCAGAAGAATCGCTTGAACCCAGAGGCAGAGGTTGCAGTGAGCCAGGATCGTGCCACCTCACTCCAGCCTGTGCAAAAGAGCAAAACTCTGTCTCAAAAAAAAAATTAAAAAAAAAAAAAAAAAAAAAAAAAAAAAAAGTACTAATTAGATCCACATTTGTTATCATGGAAGAGTTTCAAAATGCTTTGTTGCGTGAAAAAAACCTTCTAAAGTAGTATGTTTATTGTGATTCTTTTTCTGGTAAAAATAGATTTAAAAAGATAACTTCTATATAAAGTATATGTACACATGCCTGGAGAAAGCATTTGGAAAATTATACAGGCATTAATTTCTCCTACAGTTAAAGTGTCCATAACAAAAATTGGTCATAGCATAATTAGCTGCTTATTGACCAAAATTTAATGAATCACTCTTAGCGATAACCAGAACTGACTGAGAATTGGTCTCATCAGAACGACAAAAAGCTGCTGCTTCCCCTGGCTGTCATGAACTGTACTGCAGGCAGACCTGCACAGCGACAGTGACGGGGCGTTAGAGGGTGCTGAATGTGTGGAGGCAAGTGCAAGGAAGTTTTGTAGGTTTGTTGTTTCCTTTTGTAGGTTTTGATCTACGTTTTTAAAATTAAAGCTAGCAATAACTAAATACATTTATAGTTATGAAAATAAATTTGTTGTTAAAATTACTATTTTTTAAATTCTGTTCTACTGTGAGTTTTAATACTTCTGTTCCCATTAAAACATTTTTTAAAAAATCTTAGTTTTAAATTTCAATTTGGCTTAATTTTAATAGGAGATACAGTTGTAAAGGACAAAATCTAAAAGGCACATGCTAGTATTTCTGCAATGAGAAATTTTTGTTCCATCCCTATTCCCCAGCTATCCTTCTCCAATGTCAACCATTGTTACCTGTTTCTTTACATTCTTTTGATAAGTTGAGATTTCTTAGGAATGCACCTACTTTGCAACAGTGGAAAAGGCTACACAGTAAAATATTAACTGTAGTTATTTTCAAACAATAGGATAATAGAAAATATTTATCTTTTTATAGTTTTCTGGATTAATTTTTCCCCACTAAGTAAAAGAATTAAAGATAATTTTCAAAATCATTTTGTTGGACTCTGTGACAGCATGCCTAAATATTACATTGTCATCACTTTTTAATTATTCTATTTCTATGCTTCTGGTCTTTAGTCTTGTTAACAGCATGGCAATGCAAAAAAAAAAAAAATTACCTTTTGCTTACTTTTTCTTCCTTCCTCTGCCTCAGTCCACACCTCATGAAAAAATAGATATACATCAAAATCATATTCTGAAAAGAAATTTCTTTTTATTTTTTTGAGATGAAATCTTGCTCTGTTGCTAGGCTGGAGTGCAGTGGTGTGATTTCGGCTCACTACAACCTCCGTCTCCCACGTTCAAGTGATTTTCCTGCCTCAGGCTCCTGAGTAGCTGGGATTACAGGCATGCACTACCATGCCCGGCAAATTTTTGTCTTTTTAGTAGTGATGGGGTTTCACCATATTGGTCAGACTGGTCTTGAACTCCTGACCTCGTGATCTGCCCACAGCAGTCTCCCAAAGTGCTGGGATTACAGGAGTGAGCCAGCCCTGAAAAGAAATTTCTTACTAAAATTTTCACTGGGGATTCTAAGTATAATTTGACCCATTCTTATTAAATCAGATTAATATCTACTATGCTTGGTTCACTAAAGATGTTTAAGGTAACAGCAATAATAATAGCAAATTCTTAGGACACATTTATCTTGCTGGGTTAGGTAGGAAAAGATATTTATTTTTTAAATGAAGTATAGAAAAGCTTGACGATTAGAGGTGGGATAATGGTAATTGGCCATAATTACATTTTGAAAATATGCATTTTGAGCTACTTACACTATGCCTGGAGTCAAGTATTTTTCTAGGCCTTTTCCAGATGTGAGAATTTCATCAATAGCACCATTTATCCATAACTACAATATATCTGCCTTGGAGTAGACCACCTCAGACCCAGGAAAACATCAGCTCTTCTTGCCTTGTGGTTATGCCACCTGAAAATTCAACCCAAATTTTCTTTACTGGGTGTTCTCTTCTGTATCCTCTCTCCCTTCCCTTGTTATTTATCTCATTTTTCTTTCTTTCAGGAGGCCAATGTAAACCTAGGGTGGTAGAGTTGAGTGAGCACGGATATAGGACTTTGGGAGCCAGGATTCATACCTAGTTCTCTACTAAACTAGGTGTCTTAGGCAAATCACATCAGTTTTCTTGTCTCCCCCTTTTCCTTCTTTCCACAAATATTTGTGGAGCTCCTACTCAGTGCTAAACACTATTCTAGGTGCTAGGATGCAAAGATGAACAAGACATGACCACTGCACTTTGAGACTGTGTACTTGATCTCTCCAGCTGTCCCTGAGAAAGCTGCATCTAAAGACAGCAGCTGAAGAGAGTTTGTGGTTCTCCCCACCTGCTGTCTGGCCAGTGAGGAAGTGTGTCTAATATGGGCACCTACTGAACTCCTCAGTGGCAAAGGAGGAGGAGCCCAGGGATGGAAGGCATGAAATATGGGAGGGTCACAAGGCTCTGTTAGATGGTATCAGGGAGAAAAGGTGGCAGCAGTGACAGCAGCAATTTGGCTCTATGCCCTTGGACAATGCAGGCTGTTGATAGGGCTGCTGTGGTCAGAAGGAAAAGCAAATGTGCTTTTCTGGGTGGAATATTAAGTGAAACCAGTTAACCAAGGTAGCATAACTTGTTACGATCAACTGTCTGAAAGAATCATAAAAATGCAGGCTCATCTTGAGCCTTGAGTTAGAAAGATAATGAGTTTGGAGGTCAAAAAGAAGCCAGTGAATTTGATGCAAATCATTTCATGAAATTAAACCCCTTATTCTATGAGGCTCTTCTTTCTCTTCCTGGGATTTAGCATTCTTTATGTCCTGACACTTACTGGTTAAATGTATAAATAGAAAACCTTCACAGAACTTAAATATACATTGAGAACACATCACATCCTTGGTGGAAAATTGGGAGACTGGTAATCAAGAGCTGAACATTTTATTTCATGAAATAATAATATAACATAAAATGCTATAATTGAGTGGATTGTCTCATCAACAATTTTACTCATAGAGAGGGCTCACTGCAAGGCCAGATGGAGTAACGTGGAGAAAGGAGGGAAGACTAGTCCTGTCCCCATGCATCCCAGGGATACTCTGAGCTAATGACTTCTCCTACAAGCATGAAAATCTAGGAGGGAGACCTTTATTGCCAACTTATGAAGGGTGTTGGGTGGGGACAGAAAGAGGACAAGGCTCAGAGGCAATGATTAGAAAGTGGAATTTCATTTTCACATTTTGCTGCTTACTTTTGGCCAAGCCAAACACTTTCTGAGACTCAGCTTCCTTTTCTGTAAAATGCCACCTCCCATCCCCTTTTCTGAATTTCTTCCTATTAGGGCAAGGGTCCCCAGCCCCTGGGCAGTGGACTGGTACTGGTCTGTGGCCTGTTAGGCACCGGACCACACAGCAGGAGGTGAGCAGCAGGCAAGTGAGCATTGCTGCCTGTGCTCTGCCTCCCATTAGATCAGCAGTGGTATTAGATTCTCAGAGGAGTGTGAATCCTATTGTGAACTGCTCATGTGAGGGATCTAGGTTGTGTGCTCCTTATGAGAATCTAACTAAAGTTGGATGATCGGAGGTAGAAATGTTTCATTCTAAACCGTACCCTCACCCTCACCCCTATCTCTGTTCATGGAAAAATTTTCTTCTAGGAAACTGGTCTCTAGTGCCAAAAAGATTGGGGAACGTTGTTAATTAGAGAATTTACTTGCATTAGAAACTTACTTGGATTGATACATTCTTCTTTGAAAACACAAATAAGCCCTGCTAGTCCAAGTTTTTTAGTCAAGAGAAACATAAAACATCTTCCCATTCAAACTGGAATCATCTGATGATGCAGGTTACCGGAGACAGGTAGAGGAGCCTCTGAGTTGGGCTGCACTGGATTGACAGACATTGAGCGTAAAGACTCAGGAAGAAACTGATGGGCATGTCTGATCATACAGGCGTCTGTGCAGATGACAACAAAAGGAAACTGTTAAGGGCTTGCCTGGGCACTATCAGGAGAAGTCCAAGCAATTA